GGGAAATTAGAAGGTAGCAATCCTTGCCAGAGCAGTGAGTTTCTGGAATACTCTTCTGCCTTCAGCAGCAGGATAAAACAGTCAACAGTTGCAACATGGAGTTTAATAGCTTATAAAAAGACTGATGTAATAGCATGGCACATGACAGCAAGTGGTCATGTAGGACATCTCATCCAGTCCTACATTCCTGAATTCCACATGCATGAAGAGTGACAAAAAATTAAATAAGATGAAGAATAGTTTCTGAAACATAATAAAGAGGGAGAGAAAAAAAGGAAAGAAACTTATAGGTGTTGGCAAACAAAGTGCTGGGGGTTATGAAGAGGGAAGCATTCTTCCTTGAAAACTTCATGACTTCCTTGTGGAGATCACAGCATTGTCTCAACGTGCCCTGATGTCACAACCTTTAATACCCCTCATTTCACAGCACAATTCCATTGTGACAGCTGCTGAAAGCATTATGCCTCCAGCAAAATAACAACAGGATGTTTTATACACTGTATGCCACAAGATGCCAAGTAACAGATGATCCAGTGCAAGGCCTTTCTACCACTTGGCCATATCATCATATGCAGAGACAGTTTGAAGCAGAGTGCATGGGCAAATATATGACTTTAAAACAACAAATTTATTTGTATGCAATATTTTGTGTTTTAGGTTCTAGGGTTTTTCAAAACCTCTAATGGTTTTTAATTTCTCACATTGTTAGGTCTGATTAATGGTATTTGGACTGCTCATAGGGATAGTGTTCTTATTTATTAGAAGTAATTGAGAAGTTAATTGAGCTCTGCATTTGTAGTTTCATGTTTTAAATAACAATTTTAATTCTTCCTTTTGTTACATTAATCTATTAAAAGTCTTACTAAAATAAAGAGTAAAAGGAAGACAATGGAAGAGGTGGCAAAGGGAACCAAACAGATCTGTTTCCAAACAGACAGATGTTCCCTCAAGGATGGGACCTCTCAGGTAGGTGTGCTGCCCTACAGAGACCTCAATGAAATTGTTTCATCTCTGCTGGCCCTCAGTGTTCAGGCCCCATCAGCCACACATCAGAGCCCACAGCGGGAGTGTATCAAGTTAAACTGCTCTAGAGCAAGATAGAAGGGAAATTACTGTCTTGAATTCAACCTCTTCCTCTTCTTGGGCCATTTTCATCATAGGTCTTAAGTCACTACATCACTTTGAAGTTTATTTGAGAGGGAAAATAATCACAAAATCATGTGACTGAAGTTGCAAGAGGGTATGACAGCAATGTAAGCATAATCCTGGGCACAGGCAGCTGGATGGAGCACCACTGAAAAAATTACTGCCCATCATGCCATGCCAGTTCACAGGACAAGACATACCAGCACATTCTTCATAGCTTTTATCTTTATTTATCTTTATTTCTGCCAGAGGCTTTGCCTGCCAGGGAAGGGAGATGGCTGTGTCACAGATGACACAGGTGGCTCCCACAAGAAAGCTGTGCCTTAGACTTGAGGAAGTCAGATAATCTGGTTTTATTTGAGTAAATTCTCAGCCCATGTGTCCTTTCAGATCACATTGCTACAGCAGTCTTAAAATGGGTCAAATAAAACTCCCACACAAAATGATGCACCCACACAATTGCATTAACACATAACAAGCAACATTTACAAACTGAATTACCATAAAAATGTATAATGTATTTACAGGTCTTCAAACTGACATTAAATACCATTTTATAAAATCAACCAGTACTTAATGACAATTAACTGTTACCTTAGACCCACTGAGAAAGTGGGTCAGTTACCATCAAGGATATTAGAATTGTAGTACTACCAGTTGTCCCATTAATGCCTCTGACACCTCTAAATGCTTAACCCCACAGAAAACTTACATGCCAGCCTGATATCAAAGGATAAAATTTATCTTCTTTTTCTGCATTGAAAACCTAGGAAACTGCACTTTAAAAGCCTATGGAAAAGATGTGGTATTTAGAACTCAAAATACAAACACGAAAGTTCACAGAAAAGCTGTTATTCAGTCCTGATGGCAATGCTGGGGGAGCAGGAGGATAAATTATGTGATAATACACGATCTACTGCTCTGTCTGCCTTCCTGTGAGCATGGCATGGACCACAGCCCAAAGCCCTGCTGGCTCAGACACTGCCATGCTTGCCATTGCAGGACGAAGTGCCAGTGGGAACTTAGTGCCACTGCTCGTGCCAACGCTGTGTTTGCTGCACATGGCTCAGCACTTCCTTAAAAACAGTAAAGCAGCTTCTTGTTCACTGAGAGATCAGTGCCAACACCAAACTGAAACCTCTGCCTAGGAGGGTACCAGATGCTGTGCTGCTTTTTCCTTGAACCAGGATAACTCCAGGCTCTGCCCCTGAACATCCTGCCGGGTACAAACAATTATCCTGAATCTGGCAGGTGACCCAGCACCCTGCTCTGGGTAGTGCAGCACTAGACAGATAATATTTCAACAGGTAACAAGCTAAAACTGCAGGTTGGGAAAGTCATGGAGCACTGGTTTTGGTGTGGGAAAAAGCTGCACCTTTCTTAAAACAATTATGAAGCAGATTCAAAGAAATGAACCCTTGCCTATGTCTGGCTCTTATTTCAATACTCTCACGACTGGGTGGGTGAATCCACGGTGTCCCCCTGATCAAGTTTGTAGCATGCTCCAACTCTTCTCAACTGTTTCATATTCAACATCACCTCCTTTGAAATAGGGACCTGCAACTTACAGGAAAAAAAAAAAAAAAACCATCTGCAGACAGTTATCTGTGCAATGCAACATCTTGAGGGATATAAAGCATTCCAGAGAAATCAAGTATGCCCTTTCCAGCTCCAGAAATCCCTGAGGAACGAGCCTTTTTATATTTGCCATATCACACTGAAAATCACTACCCAAGCTAAACAAAATTTAGGTTTAAAAAAAAAAATAATAAAGCACTTTATTCCAACAGAAATTTAAGGTACAGGTAGCTGGCAGGACAAAAGCTCTTACAGTGGGCTGGCACTTTGTCTTAATCTCCAGAGCATCTGATGCCTCTTCAGTGAAGAGCCAGAGGGACAAATCTGCAGGTGACAGGGCTGCAGTCAAACTGACTATGCAAATCCTCACATTCCAGATACACACCACAGAATAGGCTCCCTTCTCAAGTCACACTTAGATAAAAGCACAGAAGTGATCACAGCAGCTCAGACTAGACGGCCATGCAGCTCAGTGCCTTAACACTGACAGTGTTCAAAAACAGATGCCTCAAGGAAAGCACAAGAACAGAGTGTGTGTAATAACCTTCCTTAGCTTCCATCAGCCGGCAGTGTGGCTCTCCTGAGAAAGGCAGCACCAAATCCCACAATAACTTTAGGGAACCAGAGTTATCCTTTCAAAGGACAGCCAGTGCAGCCACCTGAACTGGTGGAGTTTGTGCCATCTCACAGAACCAGGTGAACTCTGTTACAGCTGCTGCTTGAAGACAACCAGCTCTACAAAGTTCTGATTTACCTCCCCCCAACACAGCTTTAAAAGGAGTTGGTTGCTTTTCTGCAAATTAGAAGGTGAGAACATCACTAGTCTTCCTTGTCTAATTAGATTTTTTTACACTGTCTCATGGATTTTACCCGATAGATAAGCATGTACCAAAGACTTACCAATACTGGTGCCTACCTTGAACAGCTGGATATAATTAATGGAGAGCAAAGGTTACTAGTGATAATTACATGTGGATTATATGACTAAACTACTGCAATTCCTTTACAGCTATTTTTAAACCTTTTGCTTCAGTTAATTTCCTATTCTGTTTCCAATTTAATAATTTACCTGTGTCTTAGTTACAATGTATTCTTTTTTTTGTAGAAACTAACAGATAAATAGTTAGTTGTGGACTATAATTTCCCCCCCAGCTACATACTGAACTCACATACTGAGACAGAAATTCTGGATATTTATGTGCTACACAAATTGCCTCAACTCTGATTTTGCTGTTCTAAAATATCAGCTCACTGCATACAAAAGGTCTGTCTTAAATCAGATTTGAGCACAAATTGTTTGATGGCACCAAAAAATTGCATGATTAGGTATGGGGGAAAAAAATCACAATGTACTAATATATAATTTATTCACACAGAAACTCTTTGCCTCAAAATACTTCCACACTGACAAAAGTCATAGCACCCAAGAGCTGCAGACACTCTGCATTTTGGATATCAGTAGCATGAACAAAATAAAAGATTCCATGATGCCATATTTGGATTTAATAGTAAGGAAAACTTTTTCACTGAAAGGGTAGTAAGCATTGGAATAGGTTGCCCAGGGAAGTGTTCAAAAGACCTGGAGATGTGGCATTTGGTGGCAGGGTTTAGCGGTGGCCTAGACGGTGCAGATTTGATGTTTGGACTTTGTGACCTTTGAGATCTTTTCCAGCCTGAAGGATTCTGTGATTCTATATTGAGGAAATATAGAGCACCTCGGTAACAATTGCTCTGCTCTGAACCGAGAAATCAGGTTGCAAACAACGTCTTTGAAAGGCAGAATGTTGTAAAAAAAATTTTCATTCAAAAACGCAGGAGAAAGAGATCAGCAGAATCTACTCTGCACTCCTACAACTCCTGTACTTCAATTTCAAACAGAGACGCGCTAAAACGAACCGTTTATGCTGCGCTTGAAAACCCCTTGAATCTTCCGGGATTTAGGCAATTGATTCATTTTTTCACGTTTGAATAACAACGAGCCGAATCGCTAGGGAACACGAATGCCTGCGCCGCGGGTTCCTGCGCGCCTAGCCCCGGCACCACGGCCCCCGAGGCCACCGCCGCCATGGCTGAGGCAGCCAGCACGCCAACCTCCGGGAAAAATCATGGAGGAGACACTCGGCTCCCGTCAGAGCAGCACCGAGCTGCTCTGGGCGGGCAGGGCTGGCAGCTCCCGAGAGAATCGCGGCCCTGGCTTAAAGCATTTTAAGGGGGCATTAGCGCCAGGGAGCGGCGCTGGCGGGGAACACGGGCCGGCCCACCCAGGGGGCTTGGGGGCTGTGAGGGAAGCAGACGTGGTGCTCCGGAAAGCGCCGCGCCGGGGCCAACCCACGTCGGGCAGGAAGCCCTGCCTCCAGCCCTGCCGCGGCTCGGCGGCCCGCTCGCGGCTCTCCTCCCATTTCTGCCCAGGAGGAGTCAGGGCGGACTGTGAGGGACAATGAGTAGGGGCTGATAGAGGAGCTCCTCTACAGTGAAGCGCCGCCATCTTGCAGTACGGACGAAAAGGTGTGGCGGGCGCCATTTTGCACTTGGCCGAGAGATGAGAAGCGCCTTATTGCATTTCCCCTCCTGGGCGCCGCCATTTTAGGTTACGGCATAGCCTCCGCCTTCCCAAGAGCAATCTCATTGGGCGCCGCCATTTTGGCTTACGAACAAGACGGCGACCCGCAGGGGTCCTCACCCCCTCCCTTCCTCCCTTTAGGTGCCTTCATAAAATGCCCGTCGAGAATCCCCTCTTTTTTCGCTCCGCTCCCAAGATGGCGTCGATGCGGGAGAGCGACACCGGCCTGTGGCTGCACAACAAACTGGGCTCCACGGACGAGCTGTGGGCGCCGCCGAGCATCGCCTCGCTGCTCACGGCCTCGGTCATCGACAACATCCGTCTCTGTTTCCACGGCCTTTCCTCGGCCGTCAAGCTCAAGCTGCTCCTGGGGATGCTGCACCTGCCCCGCCGGGCGGTGGATGAGGTGAGAGCCGGGTGGGAGTCGCAGCGAAGCGGGGCGCGCGTGTGTGTGAGGGGGAGAGGTCGGAGATGGCGTGAGGGGAGAAAGGGGGGCAGTGCCAGCACCACCTCCCCCGCCCGCCTGCCCTTTTCTTTCCACACGGGGGCTGCGGGGAGGGGGGACCCCGCGCTGCCCGCGGGGCGAAGCCGAGCGGCCGCAGCCCCTCAGGCCAGGGGCGTGTGGTAGGGCTGGTCCCCACAGCCTTCCCCGCCTCTCCCTCGCAGCCTTCCTTGGACGGGCAGGAATAAGGGAAGAAGGTCTCCCGGCTCGTCCTCGGTGTGAGGAAAAGCGCCGAGATTCCCCGCGATAAGGGAGTGAGTGGAGTGGGAGCTTTGCTGCTGCTCCTCCTCTTCCTGCTCCTCGGGGATTCCCTGGTTGGCACTAGCCTTTTGAAAGCAGTTTGGACGTGAAACCCATTGTGTGGCCCACAGGGACTCATTGTAGGGCTGTGTTTTGGGTGCCTTTTAGGGAAGAGGGCTTTTCTGAGGCAGTGGTTGTGCGATGGTAGGGGAGAGGCAGGATTGTTTAGGGGCGCTCGTGTGTGTGTGTGTTCAGCTTCTCCGCTCCTTCCTTAGTGCTGGCAGCTGTGTAGGTGTCACAAGTCGAGCATCTCGGCTTTAGGGAGGACAGCAGCAAGTGCTGAAACTTTGGGAGTGGAAGATCTGGGGTCTGCACTGAGCAGTGCTTTTCCCCACCCTCCTAAAGTCAGGCCTTGATTGTGGAAAATTGCCGTGCTTTTTGTTTGCCCCTCTTTACCTTTCTGGGAACAGCTGGTGCTTTCCTCTGTTGTCCTACCCCAGCTAATAAACTGGCTGGCTCGAGTCTGAGCTGGCTCTGCAGGCTTTTTCACTTGGCCCTGGACCATACCTCATCTGCACCTGGCTTATTCTTACCGGTAGGCAGCTAGAGATGTTTGGGGCAATAGGAATGGCTGGAAATATTAGGTTTCTTCAGCCACACTGGAGGAATTCCTCTCCTACTTCCATTATTTAAAGTAGCATTTCCTGGTAACAATCCTGGAGGTGGTGTGGAGTTAGTTTTCACCTTCCTGTGTAGAGTATCCTCAGCTGTGCTTTCACCAGTCTTTCTTGGCTAAGACAGCTGCTTCTTAAGCCTAATATACATGTATACCAGGCAGGGTGTGGTATGTAACTTGGATTGTTGTATGCTCAACTTTTGTGCACTTCTAGGCTGAAAATGGGCAAGCATCACCTTTAAGAAATAATTTATTGTATGTCTTGCCATATGCCATTTCATGTTTGTCTTGCCATATGCATCTGTATGATTCTTCACTGTGTTACACTGGGGTCACTTAAAAAAAAAATCTAGTTCAGCATGTGTATGCTAATTTTTAAAACATGATATTCATGTTTAGTGCCTGTCCAGTGAACAAGCTGTCATCCGTGTGTGTGATAAATGTTCTGGACAAACAAAATAATCTGGGCCAGAAAGGGGGATGGGAGATCGTGTGAAATTGTGAGTTTGCAAAATTCTTGTGACCTTAGTGTGAAAATCCAAGTAGCCTGGAAGAAATTAGTATTGCAGTGTTTAGAAAAATCAGTTGTTTTAGATTGAAAAGAGCTTCAAAGAGCTTAAGGACCTTCATAAATAGCACTCCTGGCAACTCTTTGAGGGAGAAGCATTCAAACAAACTGAAATAATTTGTTGAAATGCTTCAAGTGTGTACACTGAGTGAATGTTTTAAACCAAACCCGAGGAAGAGCTGCCAGCAGCTTTCCTGGATCTGTGCTTGTGTTAGCTGTGCAGATAAACTGTGTGTAGAGAAAAGCCAGTCAGTGTGCCTTTGGCTGTGTACTTAAAGTGATCAGCTGTGTTCCAAATGTAAAGCTTTTGTTACTTCTGTAACAAAATGCTGTGGGATTTTTCAGTTTGGTAGAGTTCATGAATTCAATCAGCTTAATCTTTTATTGTAAACTGATGATGCTTGATTGAGATCTACCATTAGCATCTTTAATTATTTCAGGAACATGTGATTTGTTTTTCCTTAAACTGGGAGAAGGGCCTTATAAAAAAAGGTTAAAAATAGAAAAACTCCTGAGGCAGAAACCCTTTACATTGCTGTTAGGCCTACTATTATCATTACAGGCTTCCTTGTATAGATGGTAAAAATAGCTGATGTAACCAAACTGCTGACAGAAAGGGCTGTTGTCTTATCAGATGCTCATCATTTGTGGTTAGTTTGCTATGAGAGTTTTATTTGTGCAGATTTGTCACCTAACTTACTATCAAAAATTCCGTGTTTTAATTGGCATAGAGCCCTTTGCACACAATATCCAGCAAATAGGTGAACATGTGTGTGTGCAGAATGGCTGTGCACATCTCTGCAGCAGCCTTTGCTCGTGTGTCGGGGAGCGCTGGAAATGGTGCCTTCCTGCCAGGACAGGGAAGCTGGAGCTGCCTGGAAGTGAATTTCTCACTTGGAAATCACCCCCATGTCTGAAAATTATTAAACTTAACTATGAGAGTGCTTAATTATTCTCCTTGGAAAGTCATTTGTCTTTGCCGTGCCATGTGCCAGTCTGTATCGATCATTGTGAGAAGCACCGAGCTGGCATTTGGAAGCTTAATTGTATTGGAAAATGTATTACATCAGCTTTGTGAAGCTTTGGGAATCTCAGTAGCAGCTGCAGGATATGTTACACGTTGAAAGATACTCCCCTCTCTAGATAACAGTCAAGTGAGTTATTTTCTCTACAAAATAATTTTTTTCTGTTTTCTGTATAGTAGCTTTTTCATGAAAGCTTAGAATAACACAGAAACCATTTGGGAGCAGACATTTGAGTAAAAAGCAATGTGGGAATCAAGGAAACTGGTGCTAGTTGGTTTAGAAGGGATTTAATTGCTCCTGGTCCTTTCTAAATCTGTGTGAAAGCATCAGTCTAGACAAGTGAATCTTCAGTGAGCCCTCTTGAAGGCTTCACTTAAGTGGATTTATTCTCATATGTAATGTCTTTCAATTTTCCTAATGTTTTCATTCAACACTCCAAATACTATATAGATATAAGTGACTTAATTCTCATAATACTCTTGTGGGACAGCTAATAAAACTAATTTTTTATCATGCTGTGAACCTCATTACTGCATGTTTGTTCCTGCTGACTAATAAGAATAATTGGCTTTCATTTTCATTTTAAATTGTGTCTTGTAGGCAGTTATCAAAAATTCCTTTCCCACTGTAATTCTCTGGGAAGAGCTTGCAAACTCTTGGATCTTATGGCTTTTCATCTGCTAATTTTTTTCTAGATAATTGCACTTATTTGAAATGATGCCCAAAGCCAGCGTAGTGCTGACCAGAGTTTCAGTTGTGAATTCGGCAGAACTGTTATTTCTCTTTATTTTGCATATTATATTCTTGTTAACCTGATTCACAATGGCAAGTGCAAGCTTTCTTTTTATGCCAGTATTTATTTGTTCAGGGTTGACTGTGATGTTACAACCAAGTCTGGAACAAGGACTGTGCTTCTGTGCTCTCTGAACTGTCTTGAGAGGAGGATCCCTATCCCAGCAGGGACCTGCCTGTTTATTAGAGTAGAAATCAAAACTGTTTCTTTGTACTGGCTTGTGTGCACCAGGAGCCATCTCTGCAGGGAAGTGGGGATTGAGGAGTATGGCTGCAAAGGAGCAAGAGGGGACATGACACTTGCATTTCCCTCTGTAGTGAGGGCACACAGACCTTTCTGGCCTGCACTTAGAGTTCATAATTATTCTGTGATGTAAAATGGTATATTTTAATCCAATCATTCTCTTGGCCACTTCAGCTCTTTTTCATTATTAAAATGCAAACCACATACAATAGTGGTATTGACCCATCCTGGGTCTGTATGGTGTAAATATTGATACTGTGTTTTCAATCCAATGCTTTTAGTTTGATGAAAATATTCTATAATGATAATGCAGCTACCTATTAAATACCATTTTTTCCCATGGCCTCAGAAAGATTAAAGCTTCATTTGGTTTATTAGCCAACTGTTGATACAGTTGTCTGAAAGTATTGTCACACACATTAATTTAGGCAGAATACAAAGCAAATAAATGTGAAATATTTGCAAATAGTCATCTTGGAGTTGTCACCTTGTGTGTTACTTGTAACACTTCCCTTTAAATACCTTCCCACAGTCCTGTTTGTCCTTTGTGCACAGCCATTATTAATCTGCCTGTGTTCCCAGACACTTCCCATCCTGCCTGATCCCTGCTTGCTAGGTGTTTCTAGTTGTGGCCTATGCTTTTTCTGGTGTGCTAGCAAGCTGATAAAAATACTTAAGATTGTTAAGTTTTAGATGATAGACACTGGAACATGTTACATCACATCTTGACATTCATGCTTAGCAAGATGCTGCTTGGAGCTGATGGGAGTCTTAATGACCCAGTGTTGCAATCATAGGCAATTAAGAATTAGGGATTATGGCAGTGCCCTGTAAAGTAACAGGAAAACTGCATGTAGCATTCCCTGATGAGCTGCATTTCATGCATTCTCAAACCATAAATGTTTCTTTTCAGCTGCCAGTTGAACGGTGAGGTGGGAACATGTATTTAAATTGCCATTTGAAGACAAACCTGAGTCAAAACTTGAATCCAGGCTTGTTAAATGCAAAGGCATATTCAGGCAAGGTCTCTGGTTAGCTCCCAGCACTTGTTAGTGTGCTTTGCTTCCCTGTGTGTGATGGTGACTGTTATTTCACCGTGTTCTTTCTGTCATGAGGCCTTGTGATCATGTTATTTGCCCCATGCAAGGCAAACAAATTGTTTCTGGGCTCCTTTATTGAAGGAGCCAAAAGCTTGTTAAGCAGTGGGTTTTGGCATAAATAGGCTGCCTGAACTTTAAGCCTGAGAGCAGAAGGGATGCAACATGCCCAGACCAGAGTTCTACAGGAACATTCATAGTATAGGCATGTAGCTCTGTGAATTTTTGGTACAAATAGGAGTTTTGTGGAGTAGCTATGAAGGGTAAATTGTGAGGATGCAAGAGACAATTTTCCTCTGACTTCGCTTTGATGAAGGAAATGACATTCTGTACACTTACCTGCATTAGTGGTGTCCACAGAAAAGCATGTAAAAGCTATGAATTCATCAGCTCTTCTGATATGTTTCATGTGTTTTGAGTAAATCAGTACCTTGATTCCTTTAGGCTCGATAAAAGAACAAAAGACTTTGCTTTGATAGTGTTCACAGTCATCCTCATCCACTGTAGAAGTGACTTTTGCTAAGGAGTTTAGGGTTAGAATGGAGAGGTGCTGAGTGTGGGGAGGTTCTGGTGGGGTTCTGTTTACTGAGGAATAAATGAACAGTGGAGAACCAGCAAAGACTAGAACCTCACAAATGGATTCTTTCCACTGGGTAAGAGTTGGTTAAATTTGACAGCACGTTAAACAGTGTGTGCTCCTGGCTGTGTGCTCAGTTTAATCCAAAGCAAATCAGTGGCACTGCTAAGATGGGAACTGGCCCATGCAGTGTCTTCTTCCTGCTCCCCTCTTTGTGGTTCTGGTGTTTGTGTGACTGCAGTCAGTCACTCTAAGGAGCTGGTTGAGCTTACAGCTACAGAGGATGCTGATTTTGGGTCAGAGGGACTGATGCAGTTTGTTTCACAAGCACATAATGTGTGAGCCCTAAAACATGCACGGGGTAAAGGACACACTGGCTCTGGAGTGGACTTGTAAACCCTTCCAAAGTGAGAGGGCAATAACATTGTGCAGATGAAAGGACTTGAGAAATGTCAATGTTTGTTTGCCTCTGAGCTTTAAAAGTGGATGGGAGAGGAATGGGTAGCAGAAATTTAACTTTTATTTCTTTTATTTAGAGTTGTATGCGTAGAGTAAGTTTATTTTGTTAAACCTTTTCATAGAAGATTGCTTTAAATAAAGGGAAAGAAACAGCATGAAGGTGAAGATGAGTCTCTTGTTTTCCTGTGTTCAGAAACATGGTGACTGTAACTGAGCTATATGTGCCACAATGGGTGGTGAAAAAGCAAAATTAATCTATTTCCTTATACTTGGTTGTACATTCTTCAGTGCTAATGCAATGCAGATAGAGTGTGGTAAACTACTTTAAGTGATTTTACTGTCGTGTTCTGTGACTTGTTAGACACACAGAATATCTCAAACATCTTAGTTCACTGAAGCTAGTGCTGTCATGCTTACATGAAAATGTACTTAGAAAAAAAGAAAGTTCAGTCTTTGGGGATTTATACTTGTGAACGAAGTAAACCCCTGACTGTAGTCACCTTGATTTTCATGTCATAGTGCCAACAGATATGTTTGTCAGTAATTTAAAAAATACTGTTACAATGAAACTTAAAATTTATTTCATTTATTTTTTTGCATTTTTCAAAACAGAAAAATTGCTTTTTTTCTGACTGTAGAAACTTTGGGTAGATAGAAAATCTCGTTGCTTGTGGCATGTTAAGAGGGCTATGTTTACTTCCCATAAAATTATGTATTATGTCAAACAATACAGTATTGATTAGGTTATTTTGGCCTCAGCTTAAGTAATATTTTGAAGACAATTATGATGCAGATACAATCTGTGTAATTATGCTGTAGGCTGGCAAGGGGCACATCTTCATTTAGATGCCTGTTCTAAATAACTTGCATTGGATTTGCATATTCCCATCACTGAATAGAAGGGGTGGGTCCACAGGGAGTAATGTAAAACAGAAGGAGAGACAGTAATGTAAAAATTTGGCTGCTGCTTTTGAAAATGCCCAGTGCTAAACAAAGTTTTGAGCTGCCAAAAGCTCAAAACAAACTTGGGTTAGATTGGCTGAAAGCAGTTTAAAAAAATTGCCTTGGTTCATTCTTTGCTTTGTTCTAGAGTTAATGTATAACTGTGTGGAAACAGTCTCCCTCTTCCCTCCCCCAGTAGTAAAACATTGTGCATGTTTGTATCTGTTTAAAATAAATCCAACTATAACCTGTTTAAAACTGTTTCCAATTGGTTGATTTTCTTTTTCTTTTTTTGTTAGATGAAAGGGGCACTGACTGAAATTATCCAGCTCGCTACCTTGGATTCAGACCCCTGGGTCTTAATGGTAGCTGATATTTTAAAATCCTTTCCAGATACTGGCTCCCTTAACCTTGATCTTGAAGAACAGAATCCCAATGTTCAAGATATTTTAGGAGAGCTTAGAGAGAAAGGTAAGCCATTTCTGTTGGTGAAAATTGCAGGAATGTGGTGCCTTTTTTTGGGAATAACCTGTCATTTCACAGGCAGCCTTGCTGTCTTAAAGTAGAGATACAAGAACAAGCACTGTCTTGTCTCTGAGCTACCACAGTTCATGACCTGGAATGTTACTGGACTGGGAACTGTGGTATTTGAGGAATGGTAGCTTCTTCAATTATTTTTTCACATCTCATCAGAATTTAATGTCAGTTATTGCCCGGAGTGTGAAGGGCAGCACAAAAGTTGTGTGGATGCATAAATATCACAGGCTGTGCTGCAGCTTAGTCAGTAAAGGCTTTTTTCTGTGTTGCTCTGTCTCCCATTTGTGGTACCCAAGACAACAGCAAGTCTCTGTCTTGTGTGGAAGCACCACCACTGTCCTGGGCAGGGGCTGCCTCTGCTGGAAGTGTCTGGACAGCAGGTGATAGGTGCTGGAGGGAGGCTGATCTCAGGAAGAGTTGTGCTGCTGATGGCCCAGCAGCTGAAAATATGGGATCAGGCACTTGCACAGTTGCTGCTTCAGACAGTAAATGGTGGTGCAAAACTACTCCTACTCCAGTGGGTTTATTTTAGCACATTGTCTGGAAAAAGCCCTCGGGCATCCATGGACAGACACAATCTCAGGGCTGGAGATTGCAACAGAACAATAATTAAATGACTTGGAGGTGGAAATGCTTTGTTTTCTTTCTATAAACAAATGATCATTTGTCTATCCACATTTGTGATTTGGATTTTCTTTCAATAGTTTGCTTTTCATGTGTAATTTTTAAGGAACCTGAGAATTCAATTTTTTTTTCTTTTGACAACAGCAGCATATTTAAGATACCTATAATTTGACTAGGTATAATTAAAATGGAAGATTTTATGAAGCTAATGGGAAAAACATACTAATAAGTGGTTATATATTGTGTAATAATTGGAACTAAATTACTCCTGGCGTTTATACAAATAATCTAAAATGTAAAACTACCTGTACAGCCTAGTTGAAAAATGTTTTGTCATTAGCTGTCAAGGAGGTGCTAATACCCCTGTGTACTGTGTTAACTCTTTGTGCAGTAAGTGAATGTGAAACCTCAGCTATGTTGCCGTTGGAATGCCAATACTTAAACAAAAATGCCTTGACAACACTCGCTGGGCCACTTACTCCCCCAGTGAAACATTTCCAGCTGAAAAGAAAACCTAAAAGTGCCACTCTCAGAGCTGAACTCTTGCAGAAGTGTAAGTATAGTATTAATATTGTGTGCAAATTAAATGGTGAAGGGACAATTTATTTTCAGTATATTCAGTCTTATTCTCCAGAATTGTGATACACATTAAAATGTTCTGTTACAAGAGCTTTCCTGGATGAGGATGGACTGATGTGTGGAAGAGCAGGTGCAAGTCATTCCAGCCAGGATTGCATTAAAATGCTGCTATTGATTTAAATGCTGTTCACATTTCAAGGCATGCAAAGAGCTGTAGCTTCATAAAGCACAGATAGGTCCTCTCCTGGGTATCTGTAACAGCCAGTTGGGAACACCTCTGAGGATACCTTTGGTTAAAGCTCCTGAAGGAAAAGTAAAATGAGGACAGTTTTATTTTGCCATGTGCTTTTGGAGCAGAGAGCAAGGGCTGCTAATTAATGCTTTCTTTAACTCAGTGTGCCTGTATAGGGTGTAAAAACCAAGAGGGTTTTCTCTTAACAAAAGGCAACACATGTGTACATGTATGTATTGGTAGCTGGTTGAATTAAGTGATCTTAAAATAGTTTGCTGCAGCTCCTGTTCTGTTGCAGCAGCTTGCTGCTTTCTTGCATGTAACTTGGATTGGTCTGGTTAAATACAAAATTTGTAACTTTTCATAATGTGTCATATAACTTTTAAAATTATTTCAATTTCTACTGAGTAAATTGCCTTTTCTGGTAATTTATTTTAGCTTAGGCCACCTTGTCCATTGCATAGTCATACTGATTTCACATTTTCTCCAAATACTATGTTTACTTCACATAAATGACTTGTGTTCTAATTAAAATACAATCCCTTCTTTGTTGGTATTCCTATCTCTATGTATTACTTAATAACATTATATGTAAGAAGCATTGTGTTATATATTTTCAGCACAGGTTCTGTAATAACTAAAGGCATTTTTCCTTTTAGCAACAGAAACTGCGCAGCAGCTCAAGAAGACTGCAGGAGTGCCTTTCCATGCCAAAGGCAGGGGACTGGTCAAGAAGATAGATACAACAAGTATGGCTCACTTTCATCAGTTCTCAGAAAACCTGATAAAGTAGCCTTGATGAAGAATAGAATTGCCATCTGTTTTTCACAAAAGCTTAAATATTTTTTGAAGCAAAGGACTTCTCCCTTTCTGCCTCCCTCTCTCTTGATACTTAAATATTTCTGACATGTCTTGTCAGAAAGAACAACAGTGTGTGGGGTTTTTCAAATAGCAAGTATATCTGCCATGCTCCTAAAGTGTATGCAGCTAGATCATGCCTATAGACTTTGATAGGAATTTAATTTGCATCACTCCAGGAATAACTCCTGACTAAGCCATGTTGCTCCAAAAGAAAGCAGAGTGGATCACAGTAGTCTGCTGTGCTCTTTGAAATGCTCTGAACTAGACTGAAACTAGTTTGTATTTGTATAATTTTGTCTGGAGAAAGAAGAGGGGACGGTGTGCTCTCTCCAGCCAAGGCTGAGCAGTGAGTTCTGCATGCAAACCTGTAGAATGATCCTTCAGCTTTGTATTAATGCATTTCAGCTGTTTGCTGAAGTTCCTGAACTGCTTGAATCTTTCAAATAAGGTGTGAGAAGAGGGTTTAAAATTAGTTACATACTCTTAAGTCACTGCACAGGAATAACGTTCCTGGCCACCAGCGATGCTGAGGTGTGAACCTTTGAGTGATTTCTTAGTGTTGTGGCTGGAAGTACTATGAAGTACTTTGTGTCAATGCTGTTTAAGAAATGGCTTTGAGGGCTGAAGTTTGGCCTTGTGTTCAAGTACAAAATGCAAAAGGTCTAGTTGTAATTTGAACTAAAAATTTTCCATTATAGAAAAGGACTGTTAGTTCTTGGCATTCTGTGTTGCTTTTGAATTACTAAGCCAGTTCTTAGAACCTGGCCTTTAGAGCCAGTTGGCCTCTAGACAAGGAGTTGGGGACCTGCTGAGGTTTGCTCTGCTGAAAGGTACTCACATGGGTCAGAGCATTGTCCTATGGTGAAAACATTTTCAGTGTAACACTTAGAGGAATACAGAGTCTGTAAGCTCAAACTGAAGTTCTCTGTTCATCTTCTATTTACAGAGCATGATGAGATTGTCAGGAAGCTCAAAAACCTGACAGATCTGTATACGAATCCCATATCTTTTAATAGTTAAAAGATTGCTGTGTTTAGTGGTAGCATTAAGTGTGAAGTAGAGGGGCAGCATCATAGAGGTGGGAGGAAACAGATGCTTACAGGTGTAGCTGATGCTGCTGAGTACTGAGACAGCAGGTGTTCTGTTTGCTCTATAGACCCAGGCTGGTCCTCCTCTTGTGCAAACAGCAGCTCTAGATTTTCACACCCCTGTGTGAGGCAGTGACTTACCTTTGCAGCACATCATGAGCCCTTAGCCCTGCAGAAGCTGGGCTAAGATTTTTGGTTAAATACAGTTTTATCAAGTGATTTGATTGTGAAAATCAAAGAGCAACTTTGTCAATAATTGGATTCAAAAGATTTATGGCCTATACTGTTTTACATGTTCAGAGTTTATCTTTTTCAAGCAAGGGAAGCTTCTGTGTGTATAGGAAAGCAGACTGGTAGCAGTGCACCTGTTTGATTGCTTCATGTAGAATGGGGTTGCAGGCATTGGTCAGAGTTTGGCCCTTATTCCCTTTTTGAAAAGTAAAACCTAATCTGACCTTTGAGAGACATGTAGTGTTATAGCAAATTCCACATTATAATATTAATGTTTATTATAAACTTTTTAATTTAAAGGGCAAGTGGTATATGCATTAAGAAGGGGAAGAGCTGAAGAACTCATTACAGCATTTTCCATAACCAGTTAAACACATATTTCAGTCGTTGCTTTTTTTGCTCTTCCCTAAGCACCACTCAAAGGAATACCAAAACAAGCTCCCTTCAGGAGTACTTCAGCTCCCAGTGTTTTTAGTCCTTCTGGAAACAGAACTCCTATTCCTCCTTCAAGAACACCTTTGCGCAAAGAAAGGGGAGTAAAGGTAGGTGCACTCCTTGTTTTTCTGCTCAGGCCTCTTCTCTCACCTAAAGTGAATTTCTGCTGCTGCTTTGAATCAATATATTAAAGGAAAAAAAAAACTGAGGATGATATTTAGAGATAGACTTACATGCATTTAACAATGGTTATTAAGTTCTCTGTGGTCTTTCTTTTTAGCTTCTAGATATCTCTGAGCTGGATATGGTAGGTGCTGGCCGTGAAGCAAAGAGAAGAAGAAAGACATTAGGTTGGTACAGCATTCTATTACACAGGCTGTCAGTACACCTGCAGATAGGATCAAAATGTGTAGTACCATTTTGTGCTTAATTTGCTAAAGCTTAGCCTGAGCTAAACTTTAAAAAATTAAGGGATGTGATACCAAGCAGCCCAAATAGGTTTTAAAGGAGGATTTTCATTTGTTTCAGTGCTCTTACTCGTATTGCCTTGGCCTAGGTAATCTAATTCAGTCATGTGAAAGGATTGAGCTAATCAGTTGTGCTTTGGGCAGCCCATAGGTGTGTGTGAGTGGCTTCAGTGCTGGAATTTTTCTGAGTTATTTTCATCTGCTCACTTCTACTGGCTGTTTGGTCATGTAAATTAGATGAAAGTAATGTTGAAAAAATTTATAGCACTGTTCAAAATTTTGACTGAGAGATCTTAGCAAGTGAATAATATCTGATACACTGCTTTTAAGGCAAGTGACATGGTTGTGCCCTACTTAACCATATCAAGAAGATACACTATGCAGCATATTTGTCCTAAAACAATTTTTTTGGGTTTATTACAGAAACAGAATACTATCTCAGAAGAAAACCATAATTGCAATTAAAATGTTGCTTGGGCTTTCATGCTTTCTAGTATCAGATTACTCAGTTACTGTATCCTGTACATTATTGTTTGGTTCATTATTTGGTTCACTATAAAACTGTGTTTGGAGATTACTGTATCTATTTCAGCAAATACTCTTCAAGCATGTTTTAGTATACTTTGAGAAATGAATTTTTATATCTTTGTTTAAAAAGTATATTCAGTATTTCTGAAAAAATGTTTGGACTCACTTGTGTTTTTATGCAATAGATACAGAAGTTGTGGAAAAGCAAGCCAAAGAAGAAACAGTAGTAGAAAATGCTACCCCAGATTATGCTGCTGGCCTTGTATCTACACAGGTAAAACCAAAGCAAAATCAGTTAAACAAAAACCAACCAGTCAAAAAAAAAAAAGGAAAAATAGTCTTGACATGTGCTATTCTAAACCACTCAAACACTGTAATGGTATTTTACTCACTTGTTGAAACATGTCTCTTTATGTAAAAATTTTTACATAATTTTTTTAAAATTCCATTATATTTTCACCAAAGAAAAAGCAAACCTATTGCTAGAAGTTGCTCAGTCAGGAAGAAGAAGAACCTGTCATGTGTAGGCCTTTTTCCTCCTATTTCAGATACAGCATGTTAGAAGCTATGGTGCAGCTTTGTGTCCTCAGTCAGGATGTAGGTTCTACGAGAATGTTGTGTCCTGCCCTTGCTTTTGAGTGAGAAACTGTCTGTTGGGCATGTGTAACAAGCCAAGGCCAACATACAGGCAGATTGTGGTAAGCCAGTCAGGAGTGAAGGTCATTACTTCTCTTGTGCAGAGTGCTAAGAGAATCTTTGTTGTAGCAAGTTCCACATTTTACAGAATGTCCATGTTTTATGTAGTAGGGCTGCCGTAAATGATTCGTGTTAGACTTCCTCCCCCCAAAACTTCTTTCCTCTCTCACCCCCTTATGTTCAAAGGCTGGATCAGGCAGTGAAATCATCAACCATGCTGCTGTTTGTACACTGTGTATGCAGTATCATGTACAATTAAGTACAAAATGAGCCTTTTTCTGTAGCCTCATCATGCTGGACAGCATCAGTCATGTTGGTGTTGGCTGCCTGTTTCAGTGGGAATGGCGTTTTTGCCTGTGCTGTTACTGCTGCCTTCTGCTTGCCTATGCCCCAGAGGCCTTTGTGTTCTCCTGGGTGATAGCCTAGTAGGCCTTATGCCCATGGATGAACGTGGTTCTGCTTGCTAGTGGTGAAGAGCATGTTTCCTCTGGCAGATCACTTAGTCCTAGAGTGCACTTCTTCATAAAGTGCCATCTGCACAAATTTCTAAAGTTTGAAGTAGAAAGTCAGTGTTGAACAGGTTGTTAGGTAGGACTCCTAACAGAGGAGTTTGCAGTTAAGTTCCCAAAAGGAATATCTTAGTAAAACTAATGTTGAAGTTGTATTTGAAATGCAGAAGCAGCCCATGAATACTTGCAGTGTGGCTTTAATACTTTCTTTTCTGTCCTGTAGAAACTTGGCTCGTTGAACAATGAGCCTGCACTACCTTCTACAAGTTATTTACCTGCTACCCCCAGTGTGGTGCCGTCTTCCTCCTATATCCCCAGCTCTGAAACACAGCCAGGTAACAGACACTTCTTTGCTCTTGGGATTTGATAACTGTAACTCTGTACAGTTTTACTGTCTGGCTGCTCTTTTATTTACAAACCTGCTGTCCCTCAACTTCAGAGAAACTCCACCTTAGCAATATAAAATCCATTGCAAAACTCTAGCCTTTGAGTTTGGGGAATCCAGACATATCATTTAACCTAAGTAAAGAAAATAATTGTTGGCCCTAAATTTTTAGGGTGACTGCTAGGTAAGTCAAGTAAGTGAAACAATTTCCTGATTTTTTTTTTCTTACACAGTAACAGAAAAATCCAGCCTTTGTAATCCCCAAAGAGTAATCAATATAAGTCTAAAGTATATATTCCACGCACACACATACTAGCACATACAAAACAGTTGCTTTCAGAAATCAGTTTTTATTTCTAGAGGCAAGTGCATATTACCTTTCACACAATTTGGGATTAAGCCATCCATTTTTCTTCTACCTTTGTATAACAAAGATAATAGCTGATTTACTGATTATTTTGAAAAGTGCTGTTATTTTCAATTCTAGAAAATTGCCAATAGTAAAAAATAGTTTGTACAAGTCCATTTTTCCTACAGTTTTATTTTAACCAGCTTGATTTTATTTTTCCTTCCCTGCTGTGTGTAAAGTCTTTAAAGGAATGCATCAGTTTGTGCTAACAGATGTGCATGGCTGGGATTCGTTGCCAGATCGGCCCGTTAACAGAGAACCAACATTTCAGTTTGATATATTATTTTTACTTGGGAGCTGTGGCATTTTGGGCACTACAGAAAACTGCATAGATGCAAGACCCAGTCATTTCATTTGGCCTCAAAACAGTTCAGAATCTCTCTGAAGGTCTATGCACATCTTTCTGTGGCAGAAAATTGGCATCTCCAGAAGGAATGCAGCCAAGAACACAGCAGTGTGTCAGCAGCTGTAGTACTATTTTCCAGAGTGTTGGCATTGTGTTCAGCAACAGGAAAAGTCTAGTTTAAAATTCTCTATTCTGTGCTCTTTCCTTTAGGAGTATTAAGCTTTTCTTAGGGACCAGGAACATAAAACTGTTTTCTTGATATAAGATGCACACAGAAGATCCACAGATTTGGCTTCATATAATCTGAAGTTGCATAATTAAGACATTACTTTAATAACAAAGATAATAGCTGATTTACTATTTTGAAAAGTGCTGTTATTTTCAATTCTAGAAAATTGCCAATAGTAAAAAATAGTTTGTACAAGTCCATTTTTCCTACAGTTTTATTTTAACCAGCTTGATTTTATTTTTCCTTCCCTGCTGTGTGTAAAGTCTTTAAAGGAATGCATCAGTTTGTGCTAACAGATGTGCATGGCTGGGATTCGTTGCCAGATCGGCCCGTTAACAGAGAACCAACATTTCAGTTTGATATATTATTTTTACTTGGGAGCTGTGGCATTTTGGGCACTACAGAAAACTGCATAGATGCAAGACCCAGTCATTTCATTTGGCCTCAAAACAGTTCAGAATCTCTCTGAAGGTCTATGCACATCTTTCTGTGGCAGAAAATTGGCATCTCCAGAAGGAATGCAGCCAAGAACACAGCAGTGTGTCAGCAGCTGTAGTACTATTTTCCAGAGTGTTGGCATTGTGTTCAGCAACAGGAAAAGTCTAGTTTAAAATTCTCTATTCTGTGCTCTTTCCTTTAGGAGTATTAAGCTTTTCTTAGGGACCAGGAACATAAAACTGTTTTCTTGATATAAGATGCACACAGAAGATCCACAGATTTGGCTTCATATAATCTGAAGTTGCATAATTAAGACATTACTTTATGAAGGTCAGTTATTCTGACAAGAGACAAAGCCAATAATGGAACAAGAATAAGGAATAACTCATAGTTGCAAATGTTTATCCTCTCAATTGTTCCACATCTACTGAAAAATAGCAGTATTGCTAAAACCATTGCCATGGCTGTGCCAAGGTGGAGAACCATACAAGTGTCATTTCCTAAAATCTTCTCTCAATGGCATCAGTGTAGCTGTGATCTCTATCTGCCTGTAGTCTTCTGTGAACACAGGGTAAACAGGTCAGCTTACAGCTCATGAGGTTTGTGAAGGCTGCTTGAGCTGCAAAAGAACGTAGTTAGAGTGTCCACTGGGTAATTACCACTGGCTGGACAGATGGTAGCTTGTATGGTCAAGCTGCTGTGATTTTGTGAGTTTCCTCCAACTGTAGCCAGCTTTGGAATAGTATAACTTCCTCATTGCAGGTGAATGGATCAGCTTTGAGAAAGAACAGTTAAGCCTTGTGGGGTTTTAACTTCTAGCAGTTAGTGTTTAAATAACGAGTGACTTGTGAAGACTGTGTTTAATTATGACATCTGTTAAAATATATTTGTATTTTCAGTATCTTAATGGCACTTCCTTTGAAAGGTGTCTTGTGCCAAGGTGGAGAACCGTACAAGTCTCATTTCCTAAAATCATCTCTCAATGGCATCAGTGTAGCTGTGATCTGTATCTGCCTGTAGTCTTCTGTGAACACAGGGTAAACAGGTCAGCTTACAGCTCATGAGGTTTGTGAAGGCTGCTTGAGCTGCAAAAGAACGTAGTTAGAGTGTCCACTGGGTAATTACCACTGGCTGGACAGATGGTAGCTTGTATGGTCAAGCTGCTGTGATTTTGTGAGTTTCCTCCAACTGTAGCCAGCTTTGGAATAGTATAACTTCCTCATTGCAGGTGAATGGATCAGCTTTGAGAAAGAACAGTTAAGCCTCGTGGGGTTTTAACTTCTAGCAGTTAGTATTTAAATAACGAGTGACTTGTGAAGGCTGTGTTTAATTATGACATCTGTTGAAATATATTTGTATTTTCAGTATCTTAATGGCACTTCCTTTGAAAGCTGTCGCTACATTAGGTAAAAACTGATGAAATAATTTTTTACTTTTTGTAATAGTACAGCAACAATCCTGATAGTATCAGAGTACAGCTGTTAGAGCTATATAAACTGAAAAGTAAGTATTGAAGTTCCAGTTTAATAAATCGGATATTGATTAAACATCAAATTTGATGCTAAATATAGTGTATCCATATGGAACAGCTAGTTACTCTGTCTAATGATTTCTAAAGATAATTGAGTGGAAAGAGCATTAGCTCTTAGCTTTTTCATATGGATATTAGATGGCATATTGAATTGTGGTGCTAAAATGGAATCATCAGAGATTTTAGCTTTCTTTGAAGGTCACTGGTGATGCTAATCCCTATTTGTGGATAATAATGTTTTAACTATCCTGACTGGTTTTTGCAGCTGGCTCTGCACGAGAGGCCTTGCAGACCAACAGACAGACAGAAGAGCCTGCAGCTCCAAATGCTACTACAACTCTTCCTGCACAGTTCAAACAAAGAACACCCATGTACAACAGCAACTCTAATCCCCCTGCAGCTACACCTACCTCACCCCTAACACCCACCACACCTCCTGCCATCTCCCCTGCGGCACAGGCACCACAAGTGGCCCCCCAAACTCAGCAACAGCCACCACCCAAGAAAAGCCTCTCTCTCACAGTAAGTAAAAACAGATTCCTTTTGACTGATGGTTTTGATGTGGATTGGATCTCATTTATATGTTGGCATTTCTTGGCCTTTGGATTATGGAGTGGTTGAGGCTGCTTTTTTTGTAACCAAAGATTACATAAATACTTTGTGGCTTAGCACTGCTGTCTTAATGTTACTCACAACATTTTTAGTTGTGCAGTGTTAATGTTGAGGTGAGATGTCATTACTTAATGCTGTTTGTTATGTAAAATAATGTATTGCTCATTATAAAGAATTTTGGGAGAAAGGTATATTTCCAGCAGAAATTGCCCAGCCAATTGCACATAATATAAATTGTTTAAAATTGTCCTGATGTAGCTGTAGTAGGAGAAAATACATAAATAGATTATTTTAAGGTAAAAGATTTTATTTCTGATCCACCTCATCCCCCCATTACACATTTTTCAAAGCCTGAGAGTGGGGATATATCTTGAAGCTTCCTGTTCCTGGTGCATATATACCTGGTTTGGTATGTATTATGTACATGCTTGGAGTTCAGTTCAAGGTGCAAATGATCAGAAGACTTTGCTAAGCACATCTGTAAGCCTGGCTAGCAAGATCTGAACTTTAGCAAGGGTGACTTCTTCTCTTCAGTACCTCTACTGCATTTATTAAAGGAAATGAAATCCTCTGAAATTATTGTAAGCCTGGGTTTGTTAGATTGTAGAGAAAGCATTGGATTATTTTCCTTTTTCCCTAAAAAGGGCACACAATGGATAATAAGCATTAAGCCCATTAAGCCTCTCACATGTTTCTGTAACTATTTGAAGGTGGGATGCATTTTTCAATGTCCAGAGTTCAATTGTCACTGCTGTGCATGTTAGGTAACTGTTGCAGAGGGAAGCCTTAGGTTAGGATGCCTTTTTTGTTAACTTTTTGTAGGTCCTACAAACTTTCACCTTTTGCTTTTATGCACATCTGTGGATATTAATGTGCTCTCTCTTGGCAGAGTTTTTCTCAACTGAATTGACATTTGTTGTGTTTGTTACAGAGGGAGCAAATGTATGCTGCACAGGAAATGTTCAAGACTGCAAACAAAGTTACAAGGCCAGAAAAGGCTCTTATACTTGGATTCATGGCAGGATCCAGAGGCATGTATTGATATTAATTTAACTTGCTTCTGAACACACAAATCTGAAATACAGCCCAGCATTTTTAAATGTGCATATGAGTGTGCTTCAGCTTTGTCTGTATGTGTTGGACTCTGCTTTACACTGGACTCTACATACTTTGATGAATTATAGTTCTAACTACCTGGAAATGGGTCTTTAGGGTCCATTTCCACTAAGTCAATTGGTCTGTCAGAAAAGCTGCTGACCACAATATAACTGAGCTCACTGTAGAATCAGGGCTTAGGGTTGAAGAGAAACAAGGCAGCTGGTAAGCTGTGAACAAAGTGGTTGGGTGCTACTGCTCTTCCTAGAGGACCAGTGAATGTAAATTCTTTTGTGGCCAGTTGATGTACCAGTTGGCTAGTACAGAACCTCTTTGCTAATTCCTTGCTTTAGAATCTGGCAACTGTTATCTCAGAGACTTTAGATAACAACTGGTGCTGTGAATCACAGGGAGATAAGCTGTCTCATAGCTGGATCCTTTTATATATTGGCCTTGATAGACCAAAGCTGTTTTACCTAGAAGATTATTGGATGTAAGATGAGAAGGGGCTTAAAGAGTCCTTAAGTGAACTCCAGCATCTGCACTAGCTCTGGTTTGTAATTTGGTATTTGGGGGCTCTTACACCAGAGTCCTGCAGCCTAAGTGTGGCTCATGCATTTGAAGTAATGCAATACACTGGTGAGAATGACCAGAGCAGAGTTACTGTGGTGATCCCTGAGCTTTAAGTTTGGTGCATTTTGCACTAATGATGGTGTTTTCAGTACTCAGTGCTACTTCAAATTGTACAGCTACTAGGAGGCTGTACTTTAATACCTACACAGACAGCTTTTTCTAACATAAGGTAAAATATTATTTTGGAAGTGTGTGTGATATAGGTTCACATATACATATATAGTGAAGTAAATATTAATATGAATTCCTTTAGTAATAATGTCAGCACCTTCTGAAGGTTGGATAAATAACTGCCAGCTGATATTCTTGAACATCGTTCCAGGATCTTGAAGTGTAACATTTAAACTTCTACTGGCATGGACCTGAGTCGGGGACAAGCAGTTTCAGTGAAGTTTTTTGGGCTTCCTTAATGGCTAAAAATTCTTGAGGCATTTAACTACAAAAAGTCTCCCAAATAAAGTAACTCTGGTAGTTCAAGTTTACCAACTCCATTTAAATATAATAATTTCTTCTGACTCTTGAGGTAGAGAAAAATGACACTGGCAGGCTTTACTCCCTCTTTTATTGTTCTTCCAGTTATGTTAGCCTTGAGCTTTGTCTTTTGGGGTCTGATTTTGTTATTTTTAAAACTTGGTCTCAGGAGTATGGAGGGAGGAAAATCTTTGTCTGTGGTTTGCTCAGCTTTGGGTTTGAGAGTTGTTGTTTGTGTTTCATGGTTTTGGGGTTTTTTTTAAGCATAAGAACCCCATATCTTGTCTAATATACTGCTGTATATACTAATGTACTGTTGAAATAACTGTTTCTCTCCTTGTTTCTGCAGAGAATCCTTGCCAAGAGCAAGGTGACATCATCCAAATTAAACTTAGTGAACATACAGAAGATTTACCAAAGGCAGATGGCACGGGCAGCACCACTATGTTGGTTGACACAGTCTTTGAAATGAACTATGCTACTGGTGAATGGACCAGATTCAAGAAGTACAAACCTATAACTAATGTTTCCTAAGAGATGCAGCAGCAGCAGATTGGACCAAATCAAGTTTAGAGTCAACCAGCTCATAGAGTATGTCAACTGTACAAAATGGCATTCATGTGTACATTTCTTATTACCCTCCAGAGTAGAAGCTGTGCTCTTCAACCAAACCGAGCTCAGTGAACACAGAAGTGTTTGATGGTGTCAAACTCACTTAATTTTTTTTTTATTAATCTTGGGAGAGGGAAAGATGATCTTGGGGGAGGGGGGGAGACATTGTTGGTGTGTTTTTTGTTCAGGATTCTGAAAAAGGAGATCACAGCTGAAAGGTTACAGATGGGAGCAGTTTACTGCTAAGTACCAGAAGAGAAGACTACTGCACACGGTTTACTGTTAACTGAGGGCACAGATCTTTATTATAAAAACATTTTCTTTGGCAACATAAGTTCTGTCATAAGAATGGATGTTTGAAGAACCACAGGTCGGTACTTGATGATTTTGTATTTCAGCTGCAGTATAACCATTGCAGATGGTAGATGTCCGTGTCTAAAGGTACCCATTGGATGTTTAGCTTATTTATGCTTGGGTCATAGGATGAAATTGAGCAGCTTTGTTTTAGCAGTGGGAACGAAGTGACACGGACCCCCTTATGCATCCAAAGGAGATCATTTTATTGTAGAAATCAGCCCCTTTTTATATCTTTTAATCTCAACCTGACATAACTGAAACCAAAAAGAACAGAAAGAAGGCACCCATTGGCTGGCTCAGCTGCAGTGCTGCTGTCCACGTGTCCTATCATCCAGTCAACTTCCTGCTCGTACACTGTCCTCGTTTCTCCAGCCAATCATACTCTCACTTCCAGCTGACCCTCAGTGACTCTCTCCTCACTCCTGTCTGCCTCTCACCCCTCAGCTGATTTCCACCCCTCCAGCCTGCAGCTGTGCCTTTCCCATGGGGCCTTCTGGGGAGCATAAGCCTTAACCATTTTAATAATCATTATCCCATGTCCTACATCTCCCCCCTCTTTTTTATTAAGCAATGAAGACCTACTAGGAAAAACCTAAGCAATTCCTAAGACATTAGTAACAGTGACAATAATAATAACTATTACAACTTTTCAAAAACTGTAACTGAGGCTTCTCTGCTGTGAGTAGTAACACTTAACCAGGAACGTAATTCAATTTTGAATGAAATTAACAAGGTGAAGCTTACAACTGCCTATATGCTTTGCTATCACCCAGGGTCTGCCAAGGAGCCTTCTTTTCACACTGAGGACTTGGAAGGCCTTTCCTGGACAAGGCTTCCATGTTTACCTCAAAGGAATGTGGTCAAGCTTTTGCAAAGCTAAATCAGTGAGTCATTTTTTTGTACAGAAACACCTGGCTTTGATAGCATACTTTTCCTTGCCAGTCAAGGCCATAGCTTGGCCAGAGCTAAGACCTAGGCTGGGAAGGCTTTCCTATCATATCCTTAAAAGAAATCTTCAGTAATAACACACAGAACAATCGGCTTTGTCATAAATAACTTGTAAATAACTATAACTATGTACATGTATAAACAACTCCTTTGAAAGAACCATTTCTCTTTTTGTCACAAACAAACCAATTCAAAACTATCAAAGGAAACATCTCTTTGTTTCAGTGAAACCTACAGCCTCCAGGCAGGTTTGCTCCTCTGAGGAGGCAAGGCAGAGGTGCAAGGTCCTGGAGGCTAGCAGCAGCAATGCTGGGGCTCGCTGTAAAGGTGGCATGGCAGTGCCCCTGTCAGGGCAGCCACCTGCTCACTGCTGGTGGCCCTGTGCCCCAGAAGAGTGCAGCCTGGACCATTGGCTGCTTCTGCTGCCGTGCCCTGACTGCCGCTTCTGGGTGGATGTATGAGACAAGTGTTGTGGTGACAGCCACTGGGCTGGCCATGCTGTTGTTGCTGGGCCACGCTTCGTGAATGGCGTTGCTGTACTTGACAGGCTGGCAATCCCTGGTGTGCCTGTGGCTGGCCCTAGGCCACCTGCAGCAAGGTGAGCAGTGTCAATGCGGCCGCCAGGCCTGCCCTGACCCCCACCCGGCCAGGACCCCCTGCACATGTGTCCAAAACCTGGAAGTGCGCAGCTCAAGCCCCTGCCAGAGAGTTAGCATTATGAGCAGTAGTTCCCACATTTTGGTGTGCTCTAACCGTATCTGCTACATCACAAGTACATGGTTATGAACAGCAAGCAGTGCTTTTCTGGTCTTTGTTCACATTTGTAAATGCGAGCTGCTGCAGCAGTGTGACTCTGGCCTCATTATTGCTGACTTGCCAGGAGAGCGTGGCATGCAGTCTGTCCAGGAACTGCACAAGTTACTCTGCTGGACCCTGTAAAATCTTAGCAAAAGACATTAGAATTGATACCTATCCCTGGGAGTCGCTGCAGGGCTAGGTGAGTGATGGTATCACATAAATCATGTGGGTAGCCTGCACTGCAGGGAGTGCAAAGGGGCCCTCTCCAGTCAGCTGCGCAATGGCAACTGGTGCATTTCTGTCCTGCAGCGCTTCTGCTGGGCTGTACACAGCTCTCAGTAATCAGTTAGCCAGACTGCAAACTGCATCACTGTTAGAATAATTTTCCTTGTGCTTTTTCAGTCGTGGGGTGTGAGGATGTACACAGTACTGAGAGACTCGAGGTAGCTTAGGGCGCGATGGGAGGATACGCTCTGTTCTTTCACTAGCACCCTCAGGTCTTCACAGTGTAGCTCTCGGTCCGCTGTGTTTTGTTTTGGTGCATGTATTACTGGGCAGGCCGAAATGACCGCCAAGTTGCCCTCCTTCATGGTGGCTTCCCAGCAAGGTTGCCAACGCTGGACTACTGCATCGCCCTCTTGGGCAGGAAGTGAGTCTGCCACCCGCTCGTGATGTGGGAATTCTGCGCCAAAAGGGCCAGCCACGCAGGGATTTTATCAGGGTAAGGCAGTTCCATGGGGCTTGGGTTGGTCTCGGGATAAAGGAATTCAGCGGGGTTTGGGCCCATCTTGGAGTCGTGTATGGTTTGGTGGCGCTGAGGGTTTGGGGGAATTAACTTCTGAAGTCGTGTAATGGCCGACATTTGCATGGCTTCCTTTAAAGGCTGCCACGACTGGCCCCCGTGTAGAGAGGTGCCCGCAAGCTTCGGCATTGCCGTCCCTGGTGGTATCAAAAAGTCTCTGCCCTATTGCTTGCCAGGTTTCTGATCAAAGGGGCCCACTAAAGGGAAACTCTTTAACTTGATCTGACATCCAGTCCAGCAGGGTGCTTGGTTTCACATCAGCCATATTAATAGATTGCTGATGTAGGAGCCACCTGAACTCCTGCTTTGTTTCCCTGATGTTCCACCTCCCCTACTTTCTCCCACTGGTGAGAGGGAGAAAGTATGGGAGGTGCACACACTTTAAATGCCCAAGTTGCTTCCTGAACTCTCTGGATCCTGCCCCCCTCATATTCCACCTGCCATACTTTCTCCCACTGGTCTCCCCATCCTTCCGGCGAGGTGCACACACTTTAAATGCCCAAGTTCCTTCCTGAACTCTCTGGATCCTGCCTGGCCGGTTCCTTGACCTAGTGGGAGCTGGTACCAGAGCGGACTGCGCACCCTGAGCCACCTTTATAGGTCCCTGTTAGGGCCAGCCAGCAGTGGGGAGCAAAGCAACACGGACCTCCTTATGCATCCGAAAGAGATGGCTTTATTGTAAAAACTGGTCCCCTTTGTACCTTTAATCTCAACCTGACATAACTGAACCACACTGAGACCTAACAGAGCAGAAAGAAGGCGCCCATTGGCTGGCTCAGCTGCCATGCTGCTGTCCGTGTGTCCTACCATGCAATCAGCTTCCTGCTCTTACACTGCGTGTTTCTCCAGCCAATCACACTCTCACTCCCAGCTGTCACTCGATGACTCCTCACTCCTGACTGCCTCCCACCCCTCCGGCCTGCGGCTGTGCCTTTCCCGTGGGGCCTTCTGGGAGCATAGGCCTTAACCACTTTAATTACGCCATATCCTACATCTTGTTAACTCTCCATATTGTCAATGTACACGCCCAGCATGAGTTAATCTTTATTTGGTGTTATTTGGGATAGACAGAAACTGAGTATCATAACTTTCTGAAGGAAAAAAGCCATCAAAATGATAAAAGTAACTGTGGCTTGGCGCTGCCTGGACATAGGCAGTGATAGTTTCTTGCCGTAGGAGTCTTGGGGCAGAAGTTGATCTATGGCTCTTGCATAACTAACCCTTTGCACAGCATAACTTACCTGGAGGAAGGGAAACAACTGCATCTCAAAAGCAATTGGAGCTTAATTTAAAAATGGCCCCAGAAATGGTTGAGACACATCTGAGTAGAAGTAGTTTTGTTGTCTTGAGGCACTAATGTATGTTTGGTTGAGTAGTCAAAAGCTGCTTGATTGTATACCCTGACCCAAAAAATTTTAAATGACTGTTCTTACCAGTGTAGTTTTATCAGTTTAATTGCTAATGTGATCACAAAATCATACTGGCATATAAATATGCCTTGTACTTGTCCCTTGCTAGTAGAAGCACATTTTTATCTTTACAACTGTGTCCATACCACTGGTGTAATCTGGCTTTAATGCTACAAGCAAAGCTGGCAGTTACTGAGAGGATTTATGTACATTAGTCAGGATTCCTTCTTGGGACACTTAGCTTCATCATTTGAAGGAGTCTTGAATTCAGTGTCTGGTTTCTGCCAGTACTTGTGTGTGGAGCTGTGCTTGGCTGGGAATGCTGCTTAGAAGGAAGAAATACAAAGATGAGTAGCAGAGTGGTGATGTGTTGAGGAGGTACCTTGGGCTGACTTAAAGATTCATGTTGAAGTGGAACTTTTAGGACTAAATGAGGCTATTTTTTTTTTTTTGTTCCTCTTTTCTGAAAAAAAGCAGACCAAATCCCATAGTACACTTGTATACTAATAAAGACATTTAGATGTTTAATTAGAATCTTTTTTTTTATTGGGGAATTTTGTATTGCATTTTAATCTTTGTTTTTCAATCAAACTACCCAACAGGACAGGGTAACTATAAATAACATTTTAAAAGATGCCCTGTATTCTGCAGTGTTTTAAGATGTGACCAAAAGTGTAGATTTCTTAACTTTATTTAAGCAAATACACAGAATGTTCTAGCTCCTGTTACAGGCAGGGTATTTGATGGTAACTGCTGCTGTTACAGAGTGTTGTGCATGTTGTAGTGTGAAAGTTGCTCACATGTAATTGTCACATCGGGGCTGTCCTCCCCAGAATTACCCATTTCAGAAACAACGTAGATTGCAATTTTGATTCCAACTTTTATTTTTTAAACAGCTTGACAAGTGAGGGTGAGTAGTGAGCTTTAGTTTTTAGGAGTTTACTAGAATGTGTTATGGTTATAACTTATTTGGTTTTAGAGTGTTACACAGTGAGGGCTAATGATAGGATACGAAAGTATTCATCTTTTAGAAGAAAGGTTTAAAGAAAAGTGACATTCCTTTTGTTGTCTGCATTCAAATTTTGAAGTTTCCTTGTGATGACCAGTTTTCTGCACGTGTGTAATTCTGTCTTAACTGTTCCTGCTTGCTAGATGAGCTGCAAATATCAGCTACAGTTGTTAAGAATGAGCATTTAGAAAACTGGCTGGCTTGAGGGGCACGTACTGTCATTGTAAACTGTTCATGCAAGACCTGTGCTGTTCAGTCGTGGTCAGGAGCTGCTTGTGGTGGCTCTTTTGGCTTACTTGAGATTAATGGTGGTCCCTCACTAAACTCTCTGGGGCCACAGAAGCCTGCATTTCAGACCTGTGCTTTGGGTGGAGATAGCTGTCTCTCTGCTCTCCAAGAAGCCCTTCTAGAATGCAGTGGAGTCCTTTGAGTGCAGTAGTGTGCAGGAAGCTTAACCATGCTGCTGTTTATAATTGCTGCATAATGCAGTTGGTCTCCAGGCCTGTTTGTCTAAAGTCAGTCATAGGCAATAAATGGAAATTTTAAGTAGAACTATAGTATATTTTTAGTTCTGTGAACTCATTAGGATGAGACAATGTAACAATGCAAAATTATTTTTTTTAAGTCACTCTATGACCTTCAATACCAGAGGATTACTTCAACTTGATCTGTCAATCTATAAAGTGTTTAAATGCCTAAAGAAGGGAAAGTTTCTTGAACATTGTTAAAATGATACAGTGAGAAGTAAAACTACATGGAGTTCTTTGGTTCAGTGAATTAAGTCATCAAATCTGTGTTCTGGAATAGGAATAATGCCAGACAAATCAGAAAGGGAAACTTCAATATTGAAATTCCAATATATTGGAATTGTTACATACAGAACAAAATCTGGCCTTGGAACGTGACATTTTTTGTCTTGAATACTCAGTCACTTGGATGTGAAGTTATTCAGTGAGGCCCAGTGTGTGCTGTCAGGTAAAGGTGTAAGGTTAAACAAAAGCATTTCATTACTCTAGAATGACTTGCAGATTTACTGTGTTGACCAGAGAAGTAATTCAGAGTTTTCTTAAAGCTTGCTTTTTTCCTTTCCTTATGCCTTTATCCAAGCATGAAGTTTTAGGAAGTAGCAAGCCCAAACTTAAGAGTTTTGGGCTTGAGCTGCACCTCATCAAGGGGGATGTCCCAGCCTCTCTTGCCCTTGCTTGTAGAGAAGCTCCTGTCTGTGCAAGCCTAGGCATGATATGAATTAGGTTCTTTGAGTGTGAAATACTGCAGAAAGAAGCAGTGAAAGTGGCTTGTGATTTCCCTGTTCCTGTCCAGACTTTGTTTTCAGGGGAGAAAGAGCTCATTCATCTTACCCAGGGTTCTTCAACAATTTGTCCTATAGTGAAGTGCTAGGTTTCTGAAGGCTGCATTTTCTTTCATGTGTGCTGTGAGGACCAGAAAGAGTGAAATGAGTGTAACAAAGAAAGGGAGCCCAAGAAGGATGCTGAGATCACAGATTCCATCTTTCTGTTCATTCTTTTGCTACTCTAATGCTTTGTAGTTATCTCCATACAAACCATCTAGGCTTAGTACAGTTAACACTCTAGTATTGGGCTGGTATTTTGTGGGTTAACCTGATTTTCAGTGCTGGCTTTGCCATTTAATCTTTCAGTTCAATACCATAGGATCCTGGATACAGTGGGGAGGAGCCTTTGGTAGTTGCTTGATATCTCCATGTGGAATTGGTCACTTCTCTCACTAAGTTGTATCAAAGTGCAGACCACTTGTCTAGATAAAAGAATCTTGAGACTTTGACATCATGCAGTTTAAGAGTGAATCACATTTTCATAGTAAGTTCTGACTGGAAAAAAAAAGACTAAAAAATGTTAAGCCAGAGCCCTCTGGGCATCTGGTGCCTTTAACAAAAACTGTCATTTTGTAAAATGTCACATCTATAGCATAGCCCGTATGTTTTCTATTGGTTTTTGTTTGTTTTTTTTTGTACAGATGTAAATTCAAAATATTCTGTCTTTGGGTACGTATTTTCAGTGTAATACAGTATGTATAATAAAAAATTTAGATTTTCTAAGGAAGTGGACTGATGCTCTTCTTAATAACCAAGTTATTCATTGTACTGACAGTGGTACCACCAGCCTGAGACCAAACAGCCAGGTTGCCTGATTCTGTGTATCTTTCAGATTTGTGGCATTGTTTCTGTAGGTGCATTTCAGAGTTAGCAGTTCAAAGCTGACAAGTGCTGGTTTAAGATATTTGTGAGTAGATTTACTGCAATACCTGCTCTTGGCTCCGTGTGTGGGTTCACTGAAAGCTGCTGAGCCCTGCTGTGTCTGCAGTGTGTGGGTGTGCCTGTGCTGAGATCTGATGGTGTGAGGAACATCTGCCATGCCCAGGTTCTGGGGATGGGGCATGGAAGTGTGAAATAAACCCTGTTCTTCAACGCTGCCTTTATCTGAATTGGGGCAATGGTGGCTTCTCTCAGTTTGAGTGCCGCAGAAGGGGAGTGTGTTTTGGGATTGGTGGTTTTTAGTGTGGGGTAGGTGTTGTCTACTCTTTTGTTTTCATGCTCATGTACTGTTCCTAGGGTCTGCTTCTGTGATAAGCACAAAGGTTTGTCTTACAATGTTATGTGGAGATGTATGGCTGGCCTTATCCCAATTTCCGTATGTGCAGCTGTATGAAATGGCTCTGTTCCACTTGCCTGTGCTGGGGCCGTGCCAGACATAGTCAGAAGTTTTTCTTTTCTGTGTCAAGTCGACCTTTTCAAATAGCCAGGAAGGGAATTCTGTTCCAGGTCAGCTGCTCTGGTGGAATGCTTGGGACAAAAGCTTTAGGAGAGGCTGACATGCACACTTCATTTGTTATTTCACAGGGGACTTGCTCTCTGAGATTTCCTGGTGCCCTGACCCTGATACACTCCACATGAACAGGGATGTGCCAGTTCACCTCCCTGCTGAGGCTGGCCTGGG